AAACGTCCACTAAAACGAGCGAAATTATATGCTGTGTCATGCGGTTAGGATTCATCTCATCAGGATTAACAAAAAATTATTTTGTAAAAATTACCATGAGTTCATCATTTATGTAAGATTACTTACACAATGTATATTTTTAGTTTTCCACTTAATAGTTAAAATTACAATGGGTATACAAAATTTGTGTTTAAAATTATTTACACGAATCACAATGTGTCAATTATTTAACATTTTTGTACTACATAGTTTTTAGATATTATATGTCATTAATATTATTGTTTATCATTTAAAACAATGTGAATAATATAATTTTGAATAAACAAAGTTGTTACTATCATATCGTTTAAACTTAAAGCAACCGTACGTGTGTGTGTATTAATATATTACAACTTATTATTATAATTAATATTACAAATATTAATTACTTAATAAAACCAGTAATTTTGAGTATAAAACAAAGAATATAAATAAATGATTAAGCAGTTAAGTGTCAAACTATTAACTTATAGGCAACAGCGTCTTAATTTTATTTTAATTTACGTCAAAAGAGTTTCTATAATTAGCATTGAATTCATTTTTTTTTTTGCCATCTAATTAATATTAAAGTTAATTTTTGTTCTGTGTTAATTTATTTGAGTTTTATGATAATATTAATAAAACATAGTAGTTGTTAAAAGTAAGATAAATAGATTGATGTGGGTTTTAAATTAGTTTTAATCAAAAGTGAATTAAATAGTTAAGATTTTACCTTGATGTATATTACGTATATTTGTATATTTTGAATTTTGATTTAATAGCTTGAGAATTAGTTTATTTCGAAAATAATATTTAAATTTGAGGAACCCATTGAAAAAAAAAATGTGTTGCTTAAAATATTGAATTTATATCTTTTATTAATAATTTTGTTTTTAAATTAAGATGATAATTGGTTCCAAAGTTGTTGTAAATTTTTGAAAATCATGCATTTTGATGAATGATTACAACTGCAAATAGGATATTTGGCATAAGATTTGTGTATTTTCATTAGGTTACAGAGCTGTGGTTTTTGCAATATTGAACACATATGATACAATTGTTGTAGTAAAACTAAGTGTGACCGTAACTATTTAACCAATTCAACATTGTGGTATTTGTTTATTAGCTCTTAGTGCAGAAGTACTTCAAATTGTATTTTAGTTAATTATATAGATTTCAATTAAAAAATATCTATTGAAATTTTTAAGTGTTGGGACATGTTTACATTACTATGGATTGTGTTTATCTTTGAATAATTATTCGATCTTGTTTTTGTAATTACTTGGACCGCTTATTCTATGTGCCAATTACCGAAATAGTTCTTTGGTTCGTTTCAACTCGAACACAAAATAAGTTTCTAAACGTTTTATTAAATGTATTATTTAAATATTACATTTGCACAAGTATTGTCTTGAGAAGCGATTTCATTTTATTGCATTGTAAAATGTAATGTTATGTATAAATGTAATATGTAATTGTGGTTTAACTTTATACTAAACACCCGAAACTTAAATCACAATAATGAATTTATATAATAAACGGTTTAAGTAATGTAATGTCCATTCAAACTATTTGTATTATAAGGACTTTAATGCAGTTGTACTTTATTATAATTATATCGGCAGATTGTCTCGACTCTATTCTTTAAATTAAAATATAAAAAGCAGTTTTAAACGTTTCATCATAACTTATACACATATAGTATAATAAGCACTGACATTATATTTTTCGATTAGCACTTGTATATCAAGCAATTTTAATATCTTTTTTTAATTTTGTATTTCCATATCATTTAATTATCTTGAAAATATTTAATGTGCAATGAACATATTATAATATAAAATATAGAAATACTGATCCACGGCAATTTAACAGTATTGTCTATAAAGCTAAGTTATAATAATATTTTTGTACTTTCTAAGTAATAAAACTACATAATTTTTATTAGCACTAATTTTTTTCAAACAGTCACTTAGCTATAAATAGAATTTTCATACATTAATAAATTGTTTATTATTATTATTATTTAATGATCCACGGTTTTATGCGTTTTATTTATTGCTAAAATGTACTCATTCAAATGTGACTGGAGGCTTTACCGTAACAATATAATAAATAATATTTTTAGCATGACGAAAATAAAAATACCACGAGTCGTAAACGTTTAAAATATTATACACTTAGTGAAAAAAAATAACAATTTTTAAATACTTTCCATTTGGGGATAAATAACTACGTACACACATACGTATATAAATGTCTGTGAGCCATGTGAAATAAAATTTACCAACATATAGGTGTTATTAATGAATGTAATACTATATTTTGGCTAAAATACATTAAAGTAACACTGATTCCCAAAGATTAATAAACATATTAATAACTAATAAATTTAATACAAAGTGGTATACTAACAATATTATTTACGTATGAATTCGTATCATTCCCATTTATTTATAAACAATTTCCACACACCACTTATAAAGATATTAACAGTGGTTTCAATATCGTCTGAAAAAAAAAATAGAGTAAGTAAATAGATATAACCACTCAGATTGAATGACCTTTTACGTGTTTTACTTTTTAAAAATCAACTATAGAAAAATAATGTAATAATGTAAGTATGTATTTGATGTGTGCGCGAGTCAAACAAACGTGTCCTATCCCAAGGCGTATGAACAAGTCAAATTCCACATTTACGGTTCATGTGTACTCGGGGTCAAATCGTGTATAAATTCGAGCAAGCGTGTATAATGGTTCTTAAATAAACGTGTAAATGGCTCTTTAAAAACAGTTAAGTATTAAAAATGTAAAGCATTAAAATATTATACATTAAATTGGCGTGAATTAAACAGCGAGGTTATTTGACTGATGTACTTTCGATTAACGCTATATTAAAGATTTCAAAAAAAAATAATATTAATCGAAAAAGTCTTGTGTATAAGTCATATTTTGATATCAATTAATATAAAAAGTGAATAACAGTGCAACTTTAAGTATGTTTTACACCGGCTACAAATTTACGTATTATACGGATAAACCGATTTTAATAATTGTTTCAAAAAAATAACACTCCTCATATTATATAATGTAATAGTTTCAATTTGTTTGGGATTTGAACTTTATAGTTTATTATATTTTATAATTCTACGTTTAGGTCTGTAACTTAATGTGTAAGTATACGGTAATAATAATTAAAAATAATAATCAACCACTACGACATATTATTGCAATAATAACTAGACAAGTAAAATGTATACTTTCTTATTAATTACATTAATTTCGAATAGTGTAGTTGCCTATATCATTAATTTCTACACATGTTAAAAAATTATCAATGATTTATTTTTCAAATGGTTATATTAAATTAAAAAATGTGACTTGTAAATATAATTAATTATAGTTGTTATAAAATAATAACACTCCTATTATAATTATTTGTAACTGAGTTGTATTATTAATATTTAAACATCAGCTACAAGTTTATTGACTTGCATTGAGTTATGATAAGTTACTTTTTTTGTATCTGAAAACGATTCGAATATTTATATACATATTTTCTGGAATATATGGAGTTATTTTCTGACCTTTGTGAAATTAGGACAGTGAACAACAACATGTTTGGCTGTAGTTTGTAAATGTCATGTTGGATATAATGGTTTTCTTTGCAATTAGACGTGTACATGCCACATGTGAGATCTCGATATGACCAATTTAGAGCCAGTCTGTTATAATTTGTTTCATACGGTTGAAATCAATGTGATTTTGACAAAGTGCAGTTTAATTTATTTTCCTTAACATTGTATTATTTGGTTTCTTATAGATTAATGTAGTATTTTTCAAACTATACTATACTTCTGTATGTATCAAATTGTGATTAAAAAGATTATTAGATGTATTGTTGTTATTTATTGGGTTTCAAACTGCTTTGTCAGCTTCCTCATTACGTTATTTACTGTGGCTATTCTTTGAGAACTACACGAAATGTTTATCTTAATTGGGTTTTTATAGATATGGTTACCTATCAGTTAATACATTACTTTTTAATTTGAATATGACACTAGTGAGGTACATAATTTTCATATTTATAAATATTACTATGGATGTTAAATATGAAAGATTGATTCGAGTTTGATGTATAATAACGAATTCCATATAATTTTTTTCTTATAAATTTGTATTAAGATATGAAAAAAATTCGATTCTAACACAACTATGAATTAAAACAAATCTACACGATATACTACATTAGTTTATAATTTAATCTAAATACTTAATGAAAGTACTTGACTTCAAATTAGTTACATAATTTGTTCATATTTAATTAATAATATTGAAACCTGTATTTATATTATTTTATCAAAGTGAACAGTTCATAACCTATATATTGTTATAAAAGTTACTGTAGTAATAGGAGTCTAAAGTACTTGATAGTTTCTAAACATTATAACAATTACAACAGGTAATATTGGTATTTACTTATTTTAAAATATTATAAATTTATACATGTATATTGTAATTACAATTTTAATGTGGAAAGTTAAATGCACAAATACAATTTGTATAGGTCGTAATAATAATTGTGTATCCATTGTACTTACTATGATATTTTGACAGTATTGTAAAAACACATTAATTACAATTCTACGAAACTATATAACTATATAATAATAATAAACATATATTGATCACAGTATGAAAATCGAATAATAAATTGTCGATTCATACTGGTCATGGGCTTATAGTATTGTAGCTTTCACTCGCATAAAACATAATAACTATATAATATGTATCCTTTCATATTTACATTATCGATGTAATTAAAATTAATTGGTTAAGTATATGTTTAATCATGTTAGAAATGTCAATTTAATATTTTTATAATGTTACCTTAATGAACACCGTCTTATTACTATTATAATAGGTGTAAGCATTATAGAATCCTACAACTAATATTGTATTTTATAATCGTTTGTTTGCAGGAATGACATGGAGATGTGTACAATCAACATGTGTTTTTGAAACAGATTTTGGGCTGTCAATCAATTGTGGTCTAAAAAAATCAGGATTATTTCGTGTGAGAAATCTTGGAGGCCTTAAAGGATACGTTGGACTTGGTAAGCGTATACCTTTACATAATTATTAGTGTATTTAAACTAATTTTGAATAATTTTTTTCTCAGAAATAAAAGATTGAAATTTTTAAGAAAAAAGGTTACTATTATAATTTGTAAATTTAATTAATTGCCAAAAATTGATTGAAATTATAAGAAACAACTAATCGCAAACAATATACTCGCTAATATCAAATCTGATGAGGTCAAATATAATAAAAACCATGGTTAATTAATTAACCATTCTTTTAATCTGAATAATTAAATTAATATGATATATTTAATTAATTAATCATTGTTAAGTTCTCAAAATGTATTTACCAATTAAAAATTAGAGTTATGAGTATTGAAGTATAAAAATAATTTTAGATAAAACATCATTAGGGAGTGTAGTAATCATTTATAAAAATCGAGCCATTATGCGTAGGGAGTTCTTTTTTAATTCTGGCAAAAAAAAACTTATAAAGATCTTTCGATTACATTTTCAAACTTAATGACTTAAATAAAAAAAAGTTATCAACATAAATGAAAAAAAAAAGTTAAAATATTCAAATATCCATCAATTTCTCAAAAGTCCCTAAATATTTTAAATATTATATAATGTGAATGTTTAAACAATTTTAATATAACTATTTAAAAATATTATGTTTATTATTCATTTTTAAGTTACAGAAAACAAAAAAATCATTTTTGTTAAACACTGTTATTGTGTACTTATTAATTTATTTTTATACTCCCTAACTATATTGAATTGTCTACCATAAGACACCCAATAATAGATGATTGCAAAATTTTTACTTCCCAAAACATAATAAAAAACACATTTTCAAATAACCAACATGAATTTATAAAAGTCATTGCAGCTTTAAATTATACGATACTTATTATATATTTCTAAAAATATTTAAAATTGAATAAAAAACTTGTATTATACACCAATTTTTTAATACATTTTCATAGTGTCTTTAAAAATTAAGACATTTTTTTAAACATTTAAATTATCTTGATAAATTTAATTGCGTTTTATAAGCAAATAAATAATCATTATTTCTGGGTCATCAGTTAAAATCAAAAATATTTTACGTGCAATTTTGATTGGGAAATAATTGTATAATTCTGAAATTAAAATTTTAGTATACTAAATAGTTTGATGGATAACATTTAAAATCAAATACACAGCCTATACGCAAATGTTCAAAATGATTTAATATCTACGTTATAAATTTAATAATAATTAAAACCAGGTACTTTAAGCAGAAATGTGGAATTATTGATTTTAAAATGGTATGACTTATTTGTTTTGTTTTTTTTTTTTTTGAACCAGTAAAAATTCATAGATTCATAATTTTAAAATCTTTTTTAGTAGGAAAGATAATCTATTCATTACTCAGAATCTAAAATTAATAACTTGATTATTCTTTGTATAAACATATAAATGTATATTGTATTAGTTAATACTTTTATACATTTAAATAATGAAATAATATCAATCATAATCCTGATTTTATTTTACTTAAAATTTTGAATTTCTTTCTTGTGTAGCCTTAATATCTTAGAAAATTTTATAATAATTTTTTAGTATCATATTTAACACTATATAATGTAGACCCATACTTTTTATTTCTGTAAAACTACGCACAGTGTTCTATTTATAACTTATATACTAATATACCTTTGAGATCCAGCCCAATGGTTGGTTATGAATTTCCATTAAGTTAAGAGCCAATTCGATAGTCCCTAAATTAAGTCGTTCAGGTACCTACATTTTCGGTCATCGTCTAGGCGTATACTAGTTTGTGCAACCATACTGGATTTAGCATAAAATTATAATGTATCATACAAAATCCTCGTAAACTGGTATTTAATTCCATTATATATCATGATATTTTATGGGATCAAGCCGGTATAAGAAATGTTATGGTTAGCTAATCAAGCCATTTAAACGCATACTACTCATTACTGTTGACGTGGGTTGTTCTTTGAAATATGTTTTTTTATACTTAGCAATCGTTTTATATAATATATACTCCCGTGTCCCTCGACGCAACACACGATTTTTTGATATATTATAACAATATCGAAATGTCAAACGACACGTATCAACAATTTCAAACTCCTCAAATTGTATGTTTTACAGGAATACAATTGGCCGACGAACTAGGATTCAAGGAATCGCTGTCGACTCTGGAACAAAATAGTAAGCGTCGTTCAGTCAACGGGTTCCCAGTACCGGGATCGTTCGAACCCTTGCAAGCCATACCGCAAAAGAACAATCACGCAGTGAGTATTAATACACAACATAATACGCGTAATTTTCATAGGTATGAAATATTATATCATCGTATTTCCAGGTACATTATAAGTTGGATATAATTTTACTTAACGGTTGTGGTAGGAAACACAAATTGCAGGCACAGATTTACGCGCACGATAATAATATCCATGTTGTTTACGCCTCGCGATCATTTGCCAAATTCTTTATCACTTTTTATTATTGTTCCCTAACAGTTTATATAATATAATCTCGTTCCATACGTATTCCAGTCACGGTGCTATGAAGTTCCGGGATGTTTTAAATTATGCAGTTGGCACGGGCTCTGAAAAAAATACGACTAGTGCATGTTCTATATTTTACCATCATTGGCTACACGGCAACACCGCCTCCAATCGATGTTTAACATAATAAATTATTTGACTCATCTTCCAATATTTTCAGTTTCATTTAGTGATATTATACTTTTCATTGTGGTATTTTATTTTATTCTATATATATAAAAAAAAAAAAAAATACTGGCTACATTGAATACACAGATATCACTTAATTATGAAGTTCTATTTTTTAAACATATTTTATTCACCCAAGAAAAAAAAATCATATACATATAAAATAATTCATTGTAAAGAAATAAGACTTAGACTATTGATAAACACTTTCTCAAATTTGGTTATACATTTGTGAATGTAATAATTTATTTTGTTATAGTATATATATATATATATATATATTTTTTTTTTTTTTTTGGGTAGATATTGAATTTTATTATACACAATATAATTTTTGATTTATTTTAAAATATTATTTATTTAAAAGTAGGTACTATACATTCATTTTTAATGTTTTGCGATTTTAACAGAAATATGTTATTATATTAAGTCAATATAAAATTACATAAATATAAACTATTGTAATGAGTGGCGCTGAGTCATATAAATTTAAGTAAAACAAAATTAAAATATTTTGATAAATGGATCAGAAAATAATATGTTGTTTACCTTTAATAACTAATAACTTTAATTATTTATTTAATTATTTAGTATAGGTATTATGTAATTTAAAAACAAAAACACATATACAAATATAACCACCCACTCTCTTTAAGACCGTTTCATCGGCGCCACTGATTGTAATAATCAAATACTAATAAGTAATAATATTATAATAGATGTAATATATTTGGAAAAAAACTATATCAATTTACTATAATACTAAAAGTAAAATAAATTACTCTAATTAAAAAAAAAAAAAAAAAAAAAAAAAAAAAACATTGCACTTGGTGATATATATTGTTATTGTTTCCGCTCAGAATTGTATTTCGTATACAATGAAATATCATTGAATTTAAACTTAACAAACCTATAATAGTAACCCTTTCAACACTAAATGTACAGTAGAGTGGTTACACATTTAATTACCTTTTTTAAAAAGCTTTTTTAATTTCACTATGATTTTTCAGTTGCTGACACATACCTTATACCTAAGTTTTACATAGAATCAGCTTAATTAATTTGAAATAAAAATCATCTTAACATGAATCATAAAATATAAATTTTTTCTATTTATTGTACAGCCTATTTTTATGGTAAAATATTAAAATACTTAGTAATAAATGACCAGTGGTTAATATAGTATTATCTATTTAAATATCCAAAACTCGCTGTTTCAAAGTTTTAAATTTTGAAAATATTATTTTTACAAGATGTGATGTCATAACAAAATACAATTTAAAAAAAAATATTTATATTTGTACAATTATATTATAGTATTTTTATTATGTTCTGTATTTCTAATTTTTTTAATAATAGTATGAATATTTTTTAAATTTAATTCATACAACGAACAATTTTCGGAGTACATTAACACATAAAAATTGAACTTAAAACTAAAATTTTAAATTTTAAATTTAACGAGTAATTTATAAGTTACAGTTATTTCAAATTTAAATAAGCGTAGCATAAAACCAATTTATGAGATACTCATGTGTTACTATACCGCTCTTATAAAATTTAAAACTTATATATAATTAATTACCTACTTATTCAAAGTTAGATTTGCATATATTAATCAAGTAATTAAAAAAATAGTCTATTTCAATAATATAAAATTAAAAATGTGTAACTTTATTAAAATAAAAATATAATCTTAAAAAAAAAAATAGTAACAATAACATTTGTAAAATTATAATTTTTATTTTCAAAAATTTTATTTTTCAATGACAACTGATTGTGTAAAAAATGTATTTTATATGAATTCAATTTTTTTTTTTAATCATTTATAATAGAATCAATAGACTGTATATGTAAATGGATCCCTCTTGTATAATAACATCACGTTTTAAATAAATTAAACAGTGCACAAAATTCTTGACAAATCAGATTACCATCCATAGAATTTAATGAATTTATTCATATATCATACTTAAAGTCATTATTGTATTAGTTTCATAGTATAATACACTATGTATATCAATAAAAGCTTTTTTAAATAATTTATTTACATGATCCCACACTATTTATGTAAAAGTAAATAGGAAAGGAAATTACGAAACGAACAGTGGTAGCCACATTTTTATTCTTAACGATCATAACTGTTCAAATAGCATCAGCTGGAGAATAACTTTGTAATATAAATTAAATTTAAAAAAAATATAATCGACAAGCACAGTCTATTAGACATGGTAACATTTTTGAGAATTTCATAACGATCCTAAAAAAAATCCTGTTGTGAATGTTGCGTTAAATAAATATATGAATTTTCCAAATATATTGCCAATATTGATGACTTCACCCCGCTTATATAAAAATATCATCTTTATATTGTATATTATTGTGTTTCTACTTTTTATTTTTTTGTGGTGACTGTTCAGATCGTTGTGCAACGCGGACCTAATGCTATCATAGTGACGTATACAGTAAATTTTATATTATTAGAATACTAAGAATAAGTATAAGATGGATGATCAAATATTGTATAAAATCAACTGAGATCAGAAAATTATTTTACGTTTAAATTTCACCATTTCCAAGTATAAACTTGCTTCAGATTCATCTGTTTTGTAAAAAAATGAATATTGTGTACTAAGTACATTGTACTTCATAATAATGTTTCTTTTTTAATGTAGTAAAGCACAATATAAATACAATGCAAATAAATACTATAAGTTTAAGTTAATGAATACCATTTCAATACATTAAATTATGTTCGTATATTACAGAATATTATAGATTAATCTCATACTTGCATTAAATCAAACAATTTAATATAGATTTATATATATATATATATAAATGTTTTTTTTAACTTTCATTTAATACATATAATCTATAATAATCTACATTTTACAATACGCGTGTTTGAGGATTTACATATAAATTGACATTATTAAAAGATGAAGTTGTCAGCCAGTGGCAACACTTATTGGACATAATATAGCTATAATCTAATATTATTTTTTTAGTTTTACGATTTAGATAATAATATGATATACCTACATTAATATTAAATATACTACGATTTTTTTTTTTTTTTTTATTTTATACTGCGAGTAAAACAATAAATATACACTAATACATAACGCATGACTGAATATTGACAATTTTATTTTCAATCTAATTGAATTATAAACGTCATATCACTGTCGAATTACCTCTCTGAGTTTGCAATTCCATAATGGCCACAGACATTTGGCACGAATAAATAAAAATGAAATTTGCAAGCAGTGATTGTTTATTCTAACCACGTCCAGAATAATTTTCGTTTTTTAAATTTAAATTTCCACAAAATCCCGTTTGGTAACAGGTGACGACACTGTCGGCGATTAACATGGTGAAAAAAAAATGTCGTTAAAAATGTCTGTGGCACCTTTGCGTATATATTTGTATAATTAAAACATTTTCCTAGGTCGTTAAAAAAAAAAAAAAAACCGTCTCTATTTCATAACCTGGCCCATGCGTGTACGCGATAATTACTTTTTCGCTTCATTATAATATTATAAGAATATATCATTATCATATCGTAACCCATAAGTAAAGGCTATTTGATATTCTCTGTAGATGAACGCTGCAGCTGCCAACATTGACAATCAAGACAGATCGGCTTACGCCAAGATGAACGGCAAGACTTCCGGTGGCGTGGTCACGGTACCGCCTTTCCGGCCGCTGATGGCCGCGGCCAACAGCATGGTACGCAGTGTCAGACTGGCCGCCCAACAACAGCTGCAGCTGCAACAACAGCAACAACAACAACAACAACAGTTCCAGCAACATCAACAGCAACAACAACAGCAGCAGTTGTTGAAGCCACTGCCCGTGCCAGCGTTCGCCGCGCTTCCCGAGTCCATAGCCAAAGTCGCGGTGGAGGCGCCGCAACCTTCGCCATTAGTCGGCGGACAACGACGACCGCCTACGGCTCCCGCGGCCGCGCCGACCGTCAGCCGACTGACCGTGCCGCAAATGATGCAACCGGTCGGTTTCGTGCCGGCGCAACGTCAGACGATACCGTCGCCGGCGTTCGCGTCTCCGTCCCAGCAACAGCAGCAACACCAACTGTTATCGTCGGCGTTCGCGTCCCAACAACAGCCACAGCAGCAGCCGACCGCGATCGTGCCGCAGCCGGCGGTCGTCGTGCCGCAGCAACAGCAGTCGGCGGTCATCTTGCCGCAGCAACAGCAACTTTCGCCGGTGTACTATCACAACGCCATGCAGCAAGCGGCCAACAGACGTTTCAACGTAAGTACGCACGACGACGTGTCCACACGTCAAACACGTAGGTACTATGTTATCAGGTCGTATAAACGGTAACGCGGTATGCGACGACGAGTACAGTGTTTATGGTAACACGATGCAAACTAGGGATCCCGGATTTATTTATTTTTTTTTAAATACGGGACGTTTTAAATCACACTCATACTCGTAATTTACGAGGGGTCTTATGTTAGCGATCGAAATATTACAAAATGAAATACCGATGTGATGTTCGTCATACGAATTATTTGTAAAGATTTGGTAGCTACAATTACGTAGGTATTTTGGCCTTCAGTAATATTTCGTTTTCCTCGCAGTTACTAAAATATACTATAGGAATAAAGTTAAACACGATCGAGTTCGAACAATAATCATTAATTATCATTTGATTAAGATGTTACGGTTTATCAATAATTTGAAACTCAAAAACCTGAATGATATGAAAAAAATCAATTTTTAAAACAAGGCACGTACGTGACGGATTATCCACGATACGGGACAAAAGTGTTGTTTTTAAATTAGCGTCGGGACACCGGGACGATCTCGTAAAATACGAGACGTATATGGGATCCCTGATGTAAACTCGACATTAATAACCGCCGTTACTCCGGGGCGGCGGTGCAGGGTCGATCGGAGACGATCATTAGATTGCAAGTAGGCGTGTAAATCTGTGCAAAGACGTTGTATACCTACCGACTAATAAAACAATAATACATTCTAACGAGCAGATAACGCGCGTTATCACGCGTAAGGCCAACGTGCGTCGTTGGCGGCGTTCGCCTCGACCGGCGCGCACGGACGAGGGATTGGCGCTGTTAATCATAATATTATCGTCAGACAACAACAATAATTAGTCTGATGTGTACGCGAACCATTAATATACATTTTTTATCGTAATAATATTATAATATAATCGGGCGTGTAAACTCATCACCGTTTTCGTATGAAAATATTATTATTGAATAGTTTGCTTTAGTGGGATTTTGACAGTCTGTTGAATGTGTGCGCGTTTAAACGCTTGGTTGAACAAATGATTTTGTTTTCACGGTTTTATGCGAAGAACGCACACGTCACATGACGTGTCGGGATGACGGCTGCCATATCATACACTTGATCGACTCAGTTTTTTATTATTTTTTAAGCCCTTTATAATGCCTTTATTCCAAAACGTGAATATATACGTGTTTCATTTATTTTTCGAAAATCTGCATGAATAAAATGTCACTTTTAAGTTTTTTGTGCTTCGGAAGTCCGCAATCAACATTTTACCTACATGCACAAATTGATTGAATAGATAATATGTTATATGTTCTAAAGTGTTATAAAAACAAAACAATGAATTATTAATATAATAACTACAGTATTATAATTATTTTCTATCAAAAAATTCTCAATAAGACAATTGTATAGGTATACAATAAAATTTATTAATAAATACAAATATATACTATATAGCTATATATATAATTAAATTGTGATACTTGTATTTTATACTTTTTTGCAATATTGTCTTCGTGTCTTCCTTTCTAATGTGTTTACATTACCAAAATTACTAAAATTTATTAAATTCGACATTAACTTTCCGTTATACACTTCTTGTATATATCACTATAATGCATTAAAAATTAGGAACTTTGATATCAAGTTTAAAAATAATGTATGTTATTAAAATAAGATTAGCGAAAAAAAATAAAACGCCCCTTAAAAGTGTGTTACCATGAAATAAAGTTCCATCATCATATATATATATATATATATATATTGTATCTATTATATTATAATTAATCTACACTATGGATTTATTATTAAAAGTATATAATATAGTGTAAGCTGTGTTATGATTTTTTTTAATCTAGACTACCTACCTATACTATAAGTCTTAAATGCATTTTAAATATTCAATTACTATTTATAGTAAACTTTTTAATATGCACTTATTGAATAAGAAGTTATAGGTAATTTAAATAATAAAACCGTTTAATCAGTAAATATTAAATTGAAATTAAAATTACCTAATTTAATATTAGAATTAGTTTTATTTAGCCCGTTGTACCTATGTACTCGTATTGTTATACATTCATTCGTTTATTAATAACGAAGACCTGAGCCAGTATATAATTTCATCTGAGAATAAATATTCAAGTTATGGTACTATTGTTTATTGAAATTATTAACATTTTATTTTTCTGCATTTAATTAATTTAACTAATTCAATTACATTATAACATGTAAAAATTATATTTTTTTACGATTTATATACTTTTTTGCGATAACTCTATTTGCAAGGTTCTAACAATTAATCATAATTTTTTATTATATACACAGAAGGTAATAATTAAAGCAAAAATATCCTCTTTTTATCCTAAATTGTACATTTATTACATTTTATTCAATGTGATGTGCTCACTAAAAATTGACAGACACTGTATAACGTTATTAACTGTTCAAGTGAGGTTTAACACAGTTTTTACAAACCTATTTAATTCACATTATAATATATCGATAAACTAAATAAAACTATGATAATTGTCAATAACGCATTATAATTACTGCGTAAATACAATCAATTTCATTTAACACTAATGTGATGGCCGTAAAAAAATATTAATAACTGTTTATAATTTTAAGGAACCTATGAATATTATTTGTAAAATTATGATTTAATCTTCTGAAGTATTATTTTTATATATATAAATATACTATTTTATGTACATTTTGGAAAAAATTATTTGATAAAAATTTTGTTTGTATTATTTTATTCATTAAAAATGCTTTTTTAACTCAAAAATTATTTTTAAATTTCAAAGTTTGGAACATTTGGACCAGAGTCACTAATTTGAAACCATGGTTTAATTGATAAATTTTATTTCACAACAATAATCGCGAACTAGTATTAGTAAATTATTTCATATTGGTTTAATTTTTCATAAATTATTATTTAAATTGATTTTGCTTTACCGAGAATATATCGAAAATACGTTAACTTGGAAAACGCTATCGTCAGTGTTTCCCCTTCGATTTTCGATCAAACCGTTTTCACGTTTTCTTTCGCTAACACATATTATTAATAGTGGTATGCAATGCAATCAATTCTAGTGGAAAAAATTTTCTACGTATTATTATATTTATATATGATATAGTATTCACTATTTTATGATTAATATGATATTATATTTGTGAGTCGCATCATTTCCAGTCTGATGAAACATGTCGCACATTTCCTGACGATTAAAAGTCGAGGTAAGACGTGCATGATTAGTCATCTATGTACATTATCCACAAATTCCTTATATCTCTACGCAACCATTATTTAGAATGTATTGTAGTTTTATATTATATACAGTGTATGAATATATAAATATAGGATGATATAATTATTCTTGAGAATGAAAATTCTCAATACGGCGCTGCATCAATAAATTAATAAATTTATTAAAACATATTATTTTATAAGCCATAGTCATAATAATTACAATACTGTCTATATTTTTAAAAGCGATGTCATCTCTGAATATTATTTTTATTTTTTATGTATCGTTATAATATATTATATTTTATCTTGTTATATCCCTTGGCAATTTAATCAGAATTATTTTATTGTAAGTTGGTGAAAATGGAAATTATATTCCTGATATTTTTTGTTCGTATAAAAATTATACTTGCATACCAATTGCCTATACAAGAATAAAACCTTACTTTTATAAAAGATTCATGGCTTTTATTTTAACAAATATCCTTGAAAATATATTTTATATAAATATAGGTATTTAATTTTATAATAAACTATGATAAGAGCTTGATTAACTAAAATTATTATAAATATTTATTAATCAAAGGTTAAATTATATTTTCTCTTATGTTTCTTAATTATTTTGAAATAGTATCAATACCACAAACGTTCTAAAAATAGTTTGTCTTAAATGTACTTTATATTAAATTTTTAATATATTTTGTCATTTTAATATAATTTATAACGATTTCACTTAACTGCCTAAAAAGTATTTTTTCAATTCACTTATTGTTGAACATTTTAAAAAATTAATTGATATAGATTGATTAAAAATAGGTAGAGTAATATAAAAACCAAAACAACTTTTAGTTCATTTTTTATACATGTATGTATATTGTATATAAAATAAATATACTCAAATATATCTTTTGCTGTCTGTATAAAATATAAGTTTATACACAATTCTTATAAACTTTAATCGATATTAAGATTTAGTGTAGATAAAATGATACTTTCATTTTATTTTTTTTTTTTTACGCTTAAAAATAATAAATATATAATTCGTTTTTTCATAAACACAACCAGTCACCATTAAATCGATTATAAGATTGCTAAAAATTATAATAATTTATTTTTAAGAGAATTATTGCGATATCGTTGAGAAAGTAAAAATTGTATGACCCCGATTCGTAGAATGAACATTCTTCATAAGATGAAGTCTAATTAATACGTATTATCAGTTTGCAGTATACATGATTTTTACCTAATACATATAATCAAAATACATGATTTGCATGATTGTTATAAATTATACAATGACAGAATGTGATCTTTCGAGTATTTAAGTCAAGAGTAACACTTAATGCTGATGTTTATTTATGGATGTCTACATGTATGCAAAACTCTATCGGGTAGACGTCTTCCATTCAAGTAATTTGTATATCTTTATTCTTGTATATTTTCCACTACTTTATTACTGATTCACATTATCATCTGACTAGTAACAACTTCATTTTAGTAATGATTATAATTATTATTTGTATAATACTCAGCATTACCGTATCTGACAGCATCGATAGGGTACATTGATAAAAATATAAATATATGATCACTGACAGTTTATAATATTGATTTATTTTGAATAAAAAAATAATTTATTATACAAGGAATACCTATATGCCAAATTACATATTGTGTGCAAGTAGCTTTCTATAGAAGTATAATCCTCTCTGGCAAATCATTAAATTTACATTATTTAAATATAATCATTTTTCAGTTTAAGCAAAATAAATTCGTATTAATGCTGCGTGAAGTATTATTTGAATACCTAAATGGAAATAAATTAAATAACTATTGTCACTAATTTTAATAACTGTATAAATAAAATATAATCAATTATCACATTAATATCAAAGTTTACAAGTGTTTTAAAAATGATGTTGATCATCTAGTCTTCACATTTAAATAAAAAATAAAATGCAATAATAATTATTATAATTAATAATATTTCCATGTTAAAAAACATTTGTCAACGCATTATTTTTATTTATTGTTTTTAAACTTAACATATTTTAAACTGAATATACCTTTGTATATATTAACAAAGTTAATAATTTTTTTACTAATAGTAGTAAAAAATATAAGATTTTTCATTAACATTAACACATCAAATAAATATAAAATCAATAAATTTTTTTAAAGAATGTAGTAGATTATGGAAATTATAATTTAAATTATGTTGATTATTGGGATAAAGGAACTTCAAAATTCCACCTCATTATTTTTTATAAATTATAATATTAGATATTAAAATGATAACCACAGTATTCAAAGCTAATTAAGTAAACAGTTGTATTGCTAAAATTGCACTATCATAACTCATTGTATTATAGCGTATAAGTAGTCAAATTTGTAATAATATGTAGTAGAGTATAATTTTATAATAAAACGTCACATACAATAAACACATAATCTACAGATTAACAAGTAGGTCATTGAGTACAATGGTAATGCTAGTTTAATTTAAGCTTAATTGTTTTAAATTAGATTATTTTAACACAATAACGTCATTATTGTATATTTAACTAAACTAACTGTTAACGTATTTTTTCATAAGATTTGTATTTTTTAAATTTTTTTTTTTTAATGTAAAAATTAAATATACCCAGTTATTTAATAGTTATTAATTTGTTACTTATTTATTCTTTTTAGAGTTATACTATACATTTAATAATAATTTTTTCAACGTTGTATTTTATGATGTTACATCAACAATTATCCAAATAATTAAAAAGCTATTTTAAAATACCCTTAAATTTCTATAACCAAAGAAACTAAACAAATATATTTATACATGGGTTTCTGATGGATCATATTAAATTATTTTTTACTAGTTCATAATTTTACAAAATAAATACTTTTTAAATCCACAAAGGTTTTTAACTATTTACAATTTATTTAAAAATAATGTATCAGTAGTTTTTATGGTTATTAAGAGCATAGTAAAAATTTACATGGTTAACAACAAAATTTTTTTATATTGTATATTGATTTAATATAACACTTAATGTACATCGCATAATTACAATTTATAAAAATATGAACTAGGTACTTGATTTATATAATTATAATATTATATAATACAATTACATTAATACTAGATAAAATATAAATTCTGTTTTTTGAGTGTTGATAATGAATAGTCATATTTTGAGAATATTAATCCACTTATTTAGATTTTCAAGTATAAAAGTAATTTAATATTTATAGAATTATTTTTAACAGTTACAAATTATAGGAATGATAGGTGAATACTATGTAATTTTGTGACCTGAATATGTTGAAATATTTTACAGTAATTTAAGTCTTAAAGAGAATTATATGATGAGTTACAATTATCTTAAATTATAGCATCTTTTATATAATTATTATTATGATATAACAGATCCTAATTACAATAATTTATTTAAGTCATTGCTTAACAACTATATTTATTTTAATCAATAGTAATAATATTAAGTATTAAATAGTGTTGAAAAATATAAATTGAATACTTATACTTTTAGATCCGTAATAGTTATAGCTATTTTCCTATTATTTGAACCAATTTATATAAACAAACACCTAAAGCCAATTGCATGAAATTACATGAAAATATTTTTGATTTAAAGTACAATGCTTTAAATCGAAAATAATGTCATTTTTTATTAATAACATCTCTTTATCATAATTATTTGATTTTTAACAACAATGGTTATTAATAATAACTTATTACATAATTTATCCTGAATATTATCTAAATTAAAATATAAACAACCTCAATAATATTACTGAAATTAAAGTATCTAAATATAAAATGTAGGAATTAATCTTGAAATATATTTCAGCTTACCATATGCTTACAATACTCTAAAGAAAAGTAGAATTTTTTTTTTCTTAATCATCTATATACATAATTTTTATGAAATACTAAAAAAACAATAAACAGCTCTACATTAAACATATTTTATTTCTATAAAAATATTATGGAGTGTTAATAATAAGTTCAAAAATGTTTTATAAACAATGAAAATAACTTAAACTAAAAGTTAAATAGAATTTATCTAAAATACTCTGTGTAAATTACTTATTTTTAAATCATTAGAAAAATGGCACAGTTTTGTCCATCATCGGAAATGCACCAACGGAAATACCATGTAACTTACTATTTTATAAGAGTTAAATTTAAAAAAAAATACATGATAAAAACAAAAGTGATTTGTTATTTAAATAATTTAGCAAACAATTTTCTTATTTTAATTATATAATTGCGTTGTTTAATATAATAATTTTTAGGTTTAAAATATAAACATGTTTTATGGTAAAATAACATGAGTACAATTACACATCTTACTTGATAATAGGCAATTGTATTTAAAAGCTTAGATACCTATTTATGTTTAATGAATAAACTAAATAGGACATCAAACTGTTCATACTTTTTAACTGTTATGTAGGCTAAGTGTTAGAATATTGCATCGTTAATGGAGTAAATACATATTATGGTAATGCTTATAATATAATTTTGATAGAAATGTATTTCAAAATTATAAGTTCAACGTTTCACAATCTGTGGTTAGCAACCTACGAGATTTAGTTTATAATCATTTTATTATTTATTTGTGAATAACATATTATAATAAATTATTATTCATTTTATGATTTGGTATATTACGATATTCAATACCTACTCATAGTCATTATTTACAATATAATGTTTTGATTTTTTTTTATTTATTACAAAATATTACTTTAGATATTGATTATTCGATTTTCTAATATTTTTTAATAAAAAAATGTATTTATAGTATTTTGATTTTTGACTGTAATCTAAAAATAAATATTATAGGATAGTCTGATAGTAAAATATATATCTTATACTTTAAATTATAAGATAAATATTAATATAAACATATTTACAATTTTTTCTCGTGCATCTATCTTAAATAAATATATTTGCATAATAATTCCTATGTAAGCGTATAATTAAGTAACCTAAATTTTAAAGACTATAGATAACAATTTTATGATAAATATAATAATTATATTAAACGGATGAAATAACAATGATTAGGACACACAATTTCTGTACAATAAATACACACATTAGGTATAGTTTTTAAAAAGCAATAACCATAATGGTATACTGTACAACAATCCTATATGAAAATAGAAGGTTAAAAACTTTTATGCCTGGGATCATATTATAACGCGTCATCTATTTTAACATGAGCTTTGTGACAATGTGACCCTACTCCAAAAAATATATACACTTATATTTAATAAAGTTGACCCTAATCTTTCTCCACTACTCGTATTACTGTGTTTCTTTTCATATCATCAACCACATTACAATAATATTTTAAGCATTATATATTATTTTGTTATAATCTAGTCAAAAATTCTCCATTAGCGCACCACTATAACAGTAATTCATCTAAGTTTATGTATCAACTATATAATCCTTTGTAATAGGTCGTATCACATATTCTTTAATTCCCGTCATTTCAGGAACATAACATAATATTATCTGTTTTATGCTAAAACTCAGTAAATTTTATGCTCGCGTTATATTCTCTCCCCATATATTTACGCGCTACTATGTCATGGCTATAAATGTAGTTTCTAACCAACACATTTTCCAGCCAACCCCGCTCGATTTAAAACTAACGTCCAAACTTGAATATTTAACATGTATTAACATGATATTATAACAAAAGTGATAGTATAATACTTATAAACACTATAATTATTGACGTTTTTTGATAGGCGTTCGGCCAAAGTTCACAAAACTCGGTAGACGTACGACCGGTAATCGTGGTTCCCGCAATACCGGTAGCTGACAATCAGAAGAAGCAAATCGACAGTCATTTACCTCTATCAAACGAAGTAGATCCGGGATCGATGATGTCGTTGTTTAATATTGCAGCCGCCAACAACGTAAGTGTCGAACAGCTAGCCATGGCTCTCCGACATCGACAGCAGCAGACGTTTTACCCGAAGGCCATCGACGACGTAACCACACCTACGCCGACCACAACTGTTACTGCGTTGCCTACTACAACTACCACGTTGCCACCACCAATTACCTCAGCATACATTCCAGATGAGCAACAGGCGGTCACCAAGAAAATAGCTGTTAAACCGTACAAGTCAAAATACATGAGCAGCCACAAGGTTATGAACGCACCCAAAGAATACTATCCCGTGGGATACGACAAAAACTTCGATGACAACTTTGTGTCCAAAGTAGACTTGCCTGACACGACCTTCAGTTGTGGTGAGCAGAAGCATTTCCCCGGATTGTACGGAGACGAGGATTTGGGCTGCATGGTGAGTGACAGATTTTTAATAATATGATAAATAATCTATTTTATATCAGTTTTATTGCGTATGTGTTTTATAATAATCGATTCGTATATCATCAGTAAATTATTCGTATACGTTATTGTATTTTAGTGAATAAATTTCGATAAACAAATAGAGTATATGTAACATTATAATATTTGATAAAAATTGTATTATAAAGATCTCCAGATAAAGTTACGTTATTTTTTTAAAAGAACAATTAAAGAAAGAATAAATATTTTTTTTATTTTTATTTTTTAAATTCTTTTTCAAAAAAAACTAATCCACATAAGATTGAAAATTATATCTATTATTTTATTTATTTGTAGTATTTTGAAAATTACAGTATAATTTATAAAAAAAAAAAAAAAAATAATAATTATAAATAGATTTGTTTTATCTACCTTTGTAGCATCATACCATTTTTTTTTTTATTGTTTAATAACTTGAATTATTGAGTTGAGTAAAACTAATATAAATTAATAAGACGTATTTACTACTTAAATTAATTATTATAAAATAAATTTTCGTTTTTAAATCGTATAAAAACAGAAAATCTGAATAGTATATATTGGTTATCACACAATTATTACACAAAGACAATATATTATTACATCAAGTCATTATTCCTCATTTTACAGTTAATTTGTTAAAGGACTTTTATAAGACGATTTATTAATAGATCATATATGAACATTTATTTGTCACTATCGATAACGTATTGTTGTGTGTATTATAATAAAATAATAAATGGATACGTGTACGAGAGTATTGTGATCATAAAGATAGAGTAGTATTCAATAGTATATAATGAAAATTGATGACGGAAAGTAACTGAGTTGAACATTCTAAAAACTAATCATGTTTTGTGTTCGTTTACTAACATAGTGATTGATTCAATTTTGTTTTGGTGAAATTGATTCATATTTCCGAGGAAGTTTTTATCAACATCTATATGTATGGTACATATTATTGGTTCACAAATTTTTTATATTTTAAAATTGTATACCAATTAAAAAATATGTTGGTTTAATACCAAACATGTTTAAGAAATTAGATGATCATTAATAACATTAAATAAAATGTAGCATAATGCACATAGCACTTACAAAATTTACTAGTTGACTTTTTTACAAATATTTTTGTTCGTTTATAAATTAGTTGGTATATATAAAAAAAAAAGATAATCAACGTCGATTTAGTACAATTATTATAAGTAAATTTATTATCATCTTAATATTACTTCAATATTAATAATTAAAAGAGGTATGCTAATATAATCAGGGCTTGTAAACTTTATAATAACGTTATATTTAACAAAAAACGATTGAAATTTGTAAACGTAATTATAATGGAAAACGATAAACATAAATAATTAAATGACACAAAACAAAGCATAACGATTTTCAAAATATATGATATATCATCAAACAAAACATAACGAACAATTTTATATATACATAGTATATCATTAAAAAAAAAAAAAAATTATTTAAATTATTTAATTAATAAATTATAAATTATAATAAAAATTTTAATTCTAAATAACGATAAACGCAAAAGTTGAATAACATTTTAATTCTGAATAACGATAAACGCAAAATTTGTATAACGTTTTAATTGTAAATAACGTATAACAATTTATTTTTTCAAATGCAAGCTCTGAATATAATATACTTAAAAAAAATTAAAATTTTTTGTTAAATTACTTAATTACTTAAGCTTTGTTAACAGTTTATTACGTGTAAACTCCTGATATTACCATACAATATTATACATCATGAAAATATATTTTAAGTAACTAAAAATTATTTGTTTGAATACAGAAAAAATTAAATGGATTAATTGAATGAATTAAAATATTTGGTTTTCTTTCGGTATATTACTTGGAATGGTACCAATAATATTAAAAAATAACATTTAAATACTCAATCCTTCATTACATGATGTTTTTAAAATTCAGTACAATACTAAACCTTATTTTGAGTTTAAATTTACATATGAAAATATAACATGAATCATGATCAAACAATTTTTTAAAAGTATTAATTTATTATTATAATATTAAGATTCAAAATCAAATTGATTATGATGTCCATTTTGTTGTAAGCTAATAATAATATACATATTTTATGATATTATTGATGGAGAAAAAATATATTAATAAATAAAATAATTTACATGAAAATAGTGAAATTTTACTTTTTGATTGGATATTCAAATCTTACGTACTTATACCTACCTTTGTCAGGCTTACGAGAATTCAACTACATAAACCTAACCATACGGATACAACGTGAAATTTGAGATAACATTACTGAAAAATCAGACAATGATCGTTTCTACTGCGAAATATTCATGCAAAACTTGATGGCGGTGTGTTTTGCACAGATAACGAAAATTTACACACACATGTCTTATACACTAGTACATAACGTTACTGCGTTATAATAATAATAACAATAGCAAAAACCTACTACCATATTTCCGTTTCAAAACATACAGGGGGATTATATTATTTTGTTACAAGTTTAACTTGTTCTTTTTCATTTTACCATTTGCCATTAATAACTAATAACTGTAAATAAAATAGAAATAATGATTATCGAAAGTTTATAATCAAAATTCTATAATGCAGAAAGTAGTTAATCATTGCTATGAAATAAATTAATTTTATTCACATGCCATGTCTTGTAAAGTATTTCAATACCCAAACATTAAGATTATGTTATTATGTGATTAATCTGATTAACTTGTGTATCAATTTTATTTTATTCTTACAAAATATAGACTTATAGAACTAAATATTTTTATTTTTATTTAAGCCTAAAAGCTAAAATTACATTAAATAATATTACATAAGTGAAAATAAAATATATTTCAATATACTGATTCAAAATTTATTAAAATTGAATGTCAATGTTTTGATTGAATTAATCCATTTTAGTTTCATAGTGATTGGTTGTTTTAATAACTGAATACTTTAAAAATATTGTTTTAATATTAATCCAATACAATTTTAAAATTCCAATAACATGTTTCAAAATTAAAATATCATAAAAATTTCCATGGGGCCCTAAAAAAAAAACTACTTGTACATGTAAAAGTGATGATATGTCAATAATTCCCTATATTTAAAAATAAAATAATACGTATTTTCCTAAATTTTAAATTATATATTTTTTACGTTTTAATAAGATGGATAGAATCATGTGGGTACGAAATTTTCTAAATTCAATATTGTGCCGGAATCAGTTGAAATTCAAAGATTATCATCTTGTCGTGAACGCAGAGTATCAGAATCGCCTAAACATAACTCCGTGTTTTTCCTTAAACTGGATTTTCTTAAATTTAATGTTTTTTTTTTTTATATATTTTTATTATTTTACACCCATCCCACGACTGGTATGAGATTTTAATTAACTAATTTATTGTATTTTATATCCCAGGGAGTATGGTAAATATCATTGTTCATTGATTTTATCTGACTTTTATCGATACGATTATATTTAACAAAATATATGTTTGTCAAAACACACATCAATGTATATAATATACACATACTCGTATTATTTTAAGTATAAAATAGTTCAAACGAAAATATAAAAAGAATTTCAAAATGTAAAACAAATATATGAAAATCATAACATGGATTTGTTTTGCATTATTTTCTTAGAAAGTATAGCAAAAGATAACTGTATTAATGTTAACTATACGGATATTTACTTTATCACGAGGTCATAAATAAAGTATTTTTTTATAGCACCGACAGTTAAATATCATGAGAAACCGAAACATGTATAAATGTTCCATTCATAGTGACTAATATCAAAAAGAAATAGCTTAATTTATTTTGATCTCAATACTGTTTTCTGAAAATGTATAATATTATTATATGGTTATTCAAAAAAAATTGATTTAATGCGATTTAAAATGTACAGATTAAAAACTATTATTCACCTAATAGTTATATATGAATTTAATATTTCAAAAATTAATTTTAAGTCATAACAATAATAACTAATCTTAACGCCATACATAATATTTTTCAAATAATTACCAATTATACTAATATTACTTGTAATATGAAAGTTTATAATATTTTCTTTTTTTTTTTTTTGTAAATAAAAATGATTTTTGATTTAAGTGAAAATTTTATAATTGAATATGTTCAATTTAACGTGTTTTTTCATAAGCATAAATCATTTATTATATAAACAAAACTAAGTCATATGTATGGTGGCTTGATATTCTATAAATTATATTAAAAAATAAATGTTGAATGATTTATCATTATTTATGATAGTATCATTAAATGTTAGGTCTTTATATAGTATTACTACTCGCGAATGATATAAACAAAATAATATTTTAATTTATAATTATGTTATCGTTATAGGTGTTCCACGTGTGTGCATTCACTGACGACGGCCTTACTCAAAAGAGCTTCTTGTGTCCTGAGTCAACACTATTTGACCAGACTATACTTAAGTGCAACTGGTGGTTTTATGTTGATTGCAAGTCATCTAGGAAGTTGTATGACAGCAATATTCCTATATCGAAGAGCTATCAACTGATGAAAGCACTAACATTCTTCTCATCGTACTCAGCTGGACCAACCATGGACGCTTCTGTGGCCGCTGCAACCGCTGCTGTTTCACGAGATTCGTCAGACGAGCCGAACAAGTCCGATCTCACTACAGATTCATCAAAATTCGAGTCCGTTTCAAGTTCGTCAAATTCAAACACCACTACCTCTTCTGATGTCCTCGACAATGTTTCGTTTCGAAAATGAATAGATATTTTATCCTAATCACACCCTTCTTCACTCCCATAAACAAAAATAGAAGGCCAATCTTTTTTTTTTTTTTCAGTGCGCGCGTTTGTTATGTAAACAACGTTTTGCAAATATTTAATAACTTTATTATTTTATTTATTATTTTATTTATACACAACGTTTATATCGTTGTAACAAATAGGTTTCAATTATTTTAGATGTTAACTATTTTTGTGATATAATAATAATATTCATAATGAACATTATATAATATATATATATATATAGGTAAAACCCTCACGGTAATTTTACCTATGTAATACGCATAATGTTATTTTAGACGCTTCAAATAGTTTTCAATTTGCTCATTTTCTGTAGATTTGAATTTAAAATATGTATTACAATTGTATATTATTATAGTAACAAAATTTTTATACGTTTATATATGTATAATGTATATAATATATATATTTTTTTTTTACTAAACAATATTAAATGATTTTACTATATGTTATAAACTTTCTTATCATTCAGATTAAATTTAAAATAATAAGCTTAGTCATGTAGTATTATGTAGAAACAATATTTTACTTATGCAACTGTGGACTTACAATTGTCCATTATATGCATTACGAGTATGAAACAATAAATCATATGTTACACTATATTATATTCGTATTTAATTTACAAAATCTAATTTTATGATTTTCATGATTCACTATTTCAAATTAATTAATATAACATACATAGAGTGAAATTTATTTATATTTTAGATACTGTCCAAACCAAAACGATGGATGTATTGATTTTACAATTAAGTGTTGTTTTTTTTTTATGTCTAAATACACAGTATATATTAGGGTGATTTTTGATAGAAAATTTGATCTTTTTGTTACTTTTGAGAAGGCAAAATTATTTCTAGTAATTTTAAAATTAATAAAAAAAAACAGATTTAAAAAGGTTGCCATTTTGCCAGTGCGTATCGCTCTTTCGTGCATTAGATGTCGAGTGAGTTACTATTATTGGTGTGTTAAATTTGAATTCAATGATAAGTATTATCAGATTTTTAATGAAAGCTGTGTATAAGTTTAAATACCACTTATTATATTTCGTGATATTTTTTTGTATATATTCGTATATAATATATAGATTTTAAAGCCATTTATTAAACTTTTAATATTACAGTAGATTACTATAATTTTTCTTGGATAATATAGCATTTAGTTACAATAGAAATATTAATTTAAACTATATTATATTAAATAAATTTGTAAAACCAAAAATTTAATTTTATCTTTTTGTAAATACCGTAAAACAGCAAAAATAAATTCATTATGTCAATAGGTAGATAGTATAAAAAATATTATTGCGTATAATAAAATTCATAATAATATAATATACGTAAAAATTACGTATACCCTAACCAATATTTTTAAATTATAATAAAATAATTAACATCATTATTTATCATTTAAATGAGTTCATTTGTCCAAATTTGAACTTAATATGTCTATAAAAAATAATTGCCTTCCTATATTTTTTTTAGATTTTATGGTTTCAGTATGAACTCTTGTATTAAACGTTTAAACCTTGGATATAAAAAAATCTTTTATATTTTTCTTACTATAAAATAGTAAGTAATATTTTAATGCATTTCGTTAAAATTCTAACTTCAAACGCATATAAAAAATTTGTTCTTTTCTATTTATAATATTTTTATTTAGATATAACTTACGTAGAATTTCATATATAATTGTGAATAATTTTGACCTATCAAATAATTTTTAATGACTACTTAATGCATAACAGAAAGGTCAACTACTTCCCCTTTTTAGATATTTATTTATAATTATTAAATTAAAAATTTTATATCATACATATTTCTATAATTATTTTATTCAAGTATAGTTAGTCAGTTACTAATTAAAAATATCGTTAATCATCCTCAATTATATATTATTACATTAATGATTACCATTTTAAATGTTATTATCAATGATTAAATTGTGTACAACCTTTCAAATCGTGTTAATTGAATCCTCATTTTAAACATATATATTTTTTTAAATATATATATAATGTTATCTAAAGTTTATTATATTAATTTAATTTAACCTAGATAAGTTATAAAAATATTATTTTTTACGAGAGCTTATATAATACGAAATCACTTAAAGTTTTTATACGCATTTTTCTAAGAGTTTGTTAAATATTTATTTAATTCTATTACAGTTTCTCTCAATAATAATATTCTATTTCATGTCAAATACAACTATGTTTAATCTCGTGGCATTAAATAAATACAATTTTCTTCAGTTATTATCACAAAATGTCTGTACAGACTTTCTTTAGAAAAATAATATGTTTGTGTTAAATTGTATACAACAAATAATTTGTATGTTGACTTAATGTATGTTAAATTTAACAGTATATGTTTATTTTTGCTAACATTATTTACACAAATCATAGTTATATAATTTTCTAATAAAATAAACCATACGAATCATAAGTAAATTTATGTTAAGTTCAATTTTTACAATATTCAAGTTTTTTATAGCTTGTATTATTTTAATCTACCATAATTGTGTAGAACTTCATTTCAAAAATTCTTAGTTTAGTTACGATTAATATTTTACTTCCTGCTTTTAACTCGATAAGTAAGATATTATCACATTTTGTTATTTTAGGTTCAACTTTTTACTATAAAGTAGAAATCTGAATGTAATAAGGTAAGCTATTTATTAATTATATATTTTACATAAAACATTGTCCATTTCAAGTAATTTTTGAAAATATTTAAAAATAAAATATCTCAATACCTATCTATTGTCTAATATACTTATTTTACAGTAGTTATTATAAATAAAAAATAAGTGCTGTGTCATACATTTTGTTGTGAATAAATTGTAGACTAATATTAACTAATATCAAAAAAAATTATAATATCAACAATATTTCCAATGATTTTGTTAAATTGTAGAATTAAAATTTATATAGCATTTTAAATCCTATAATACATCATTGATCATTGATCATTTTAACTTTATTAAATATTTATTTTTTTAATAGTAACAAAAATAAAAAATAATATTTAAAAAAAAAAATAAAACCAAATTATTAGAATTATAAATACATCCTTAAATATATATATATATTATATATATTGATATTTGCACCTTAAAATCAATATTAAATTTACACAATCAAAAATAATAAATATTAATCATCCTAAATAATGGATAGCTTATAAAGTTTAATAATATTACAATAAATTGTATTGTTCATAACAATAAGTGTTAGCTTAATTTTCAGAACAAAATAATATTATAACTTGTAAAAAAAATGTGTATTTATGTAAATTACACGTAAAAAGTTATCTGTGCGTGAGATAAACTTTAAAACGACCATTAAAACTTGGACTAATTTTTCCATTATAATAATTAAAACAAAATTATAATGTTGGTTCGTAGTTATGGCTAGTAAATAGTATATTGGCAGTACTAGTACATAAGTGTATCTTAGGATATTATCTAACATTTTAGATATAATTAGTACCTACCACAAATTACTAAATGACAAATCTACTTAATATGCATTTTTATAGGCCCGCCTTAGGTATCATTAACATAATTCAAATGTACAAAATGTACAGGTACAACAAAATATTAATGTAATAATAATAATAATAATAATAATAAATAGGAAGTCCCAAATTTATAGCATTATAATATTGTAATTTATAATATACTCTAATATATTCAACCGATGACAATGATAACAACCATCGCATTTAAAAATTACCTATTCTGATAAAATTTAGTTTGTAGGATATAATAATATGATGTAACTAATACCTTTATGATTTGTCAAATTACCAATGATTATAATATTCTGCTCACAACTGTAATATTAAGTAATATTAATACATTTTTATTATGTTAATTATCTTTAAATCTTATTAAGTAATACATTATTACTATAAAATGCATTATTTTATATTTGTTTTTTATATAATATGTCATTTATGTCAGAAAACGCCACAATAAAAAAAATCAAAACAACATATTATTGTCTACGTTTTATTAATACAAAATAATGCTAGTACTAATGTCAATAATATAATCAATATTTTGTCTCAGTTATGTTTAAATATTATTGTAATAACATATATAGTAGAACCTCTATTTAACAAACTTATATGGTTTAACAAAACTCTTTTTATAACGAAATATTTTATAGAACGATAAAATTGTCATTAAAAAACTTTTCTATTTAATGATTTAATTTTTTATTATTTTTGTACAACAAATTTCAAAACTATAATGTATTATTAATTATTATGTACCTATTTATTAAGTAGGTACACACTTGCCATTAATATATATATATAAAAAGTATACACACTATCGGGCGTAATTATACTTCACTAAATTATATTACATTATATTAGATTAGTACCTATTAGGTTATGCTATCACTATTGTACAATCTATTTAAGAAAAAAATCAGTATGTCGTCATTTTAATATACTCTTAAAATAAGTTTTTTAAGTGAAAAAAATATTATTTCTTTTAAAAACAAAATTTTCGAGTTTGTTAATTATAAATTCTGCCGTTTATATTCTTTTACCCAGCATTAATTAAGTATATGTGTTTACTATTTAAAGTATAATAATACTTATATAGTTATAGTATAAAAGCATGATTAATAACTTATATAGAAAAACACATATCGCATCATTTATATCAAAATATTATGATTAATTGTACTAATAATTATTAGCAGTTCTATTATTAGGTTAGTGTTGTTATAAGATCTTATAATACTTATATAGATACTATAAAAGTGAATCTGTGGCGGTAGCTATCTGCTCTTACAGGGAATGCAGGTGCACGCGATGAGCGATGATACTCCAAGGCTCCTGTGGATTAGTCTGTGGTTTTATGTCTACTAAGTAGAAAACACTGTACTAGCTTTGCGCAACGGGCAGTTATCCGGTGAGAACGAATTGTCTCCGAAGACAGAAATAACGGCAGTGCGGTTGATTAAGGAATGGATGAGGCAATCGCGGACGACGGACTATTGCCGGAAATTGAAACGATCGTGACAGTTGACAATTCGGTCGATCAAGAATCGGGTGAGACGATCACGGATAACGGCCCGTCAGACGACCAAGAAATGTCAGCGAAATTTAACGATAAAATAGATGAGGCGCCGGAAAAGGGCGT